AATCAAATTTCATTTTTGCCGGGGTCCTTCATTTTCGAACCATTCAAATGAAAAATCATTGTCGAACATAGAAGCTAAGACCGAAATGGAACATGGGAAGTCACTTCTACACTGCATGCAACTGACAAAAAATCGAAGTCAAACGATTCGCAAACGCAGGTCCGGTCCTCTGAATAGCCAGCGCAAATAAATAAATCATATTAAATATGATTCTACGATTTTTCATAATACCTTTTGGTTTTAGATTCTATCATTTCGGTTTTAAACCTCAAAATTATTTTGCCGAGTGTATACATGAATATGCATTTTGGGATATCACTGATCATCAATTAACCACGTGTAAACCGAAGTAAAATTTATACTCAGAAAAAAGGAACTTAGTATAAACCTATATATATATGTATATATGTACCTAAATATACAAAAACTTCAATAGTAACTTTAAAAATAATATCCGAAAAAAGGAGGGGAGGCGCTAGTTTCGTGGGTATAAATTCTTTTTCGATTTCATTCCACGTGTCACTCCCTGGTTATCATTTATTTGTTTCTGAACAGTAACGCACGAATATCTACCTCTGATACAAACAAAGAATCCGGTTTTTTTCATAAGAGTCTGGCACCTGTCTTTGGGTGAGAAACTGATTATACCGAAAGTGAAAAGGACTAATGCTTCTAGAAATTTCGGTTGTCGTTTAAAAAGAACTTCTTTAAGAACACTTTTCCACAGGCACAATTAAGTCAATTCATTTGAGATCATTTCCCTGATAATAATAAAATCCTTTCCTGCTTTTATTGATGATCAAGAACTTGGTTGAAGCAACTGAGAAATTAAAGCAATCCGGCGCTAGATAAACCAATCTACCTCCGTGAGAATCAACGCATTAGCTAATCCTAGCTATCCAGAGGGCGTGCTACACTGAATCCTTTTTTTAAATTGAGATAAGAATGATTGCATTTGACGCAAGGAAAGAAAATTGAGTGCTTAAAAAGACCTTAAGGTCGACTGTAGCTAAACAGAAACAGATGTAGACATGAACTTCGATGTTGGATCATTTGTCTTGGGTTAACTTTGCTCTGTCATTAAAAGAGCTACAATTGTAAGTATGTAAATTTAAACAGAAAGAACGAGAGAGAAAGAGAAAGAACAAAAGAAAGAACAAATAAAAACGACGACAAAATAATGAACAATAATAATAATGCTAATGAATAATAATAACAAGAGGAGTACAATTAATTCCCAAATCGTACTCTGTATAGAGTCCCAATTAAGTTGCTCAATTTTGTTGAGCGTATCATAAACGAAAAATCGCACAATGTTCTCGTAAAATTCGGAATTCATAGATACTCGTGATGTTTTAAAAGTTCTCAAATTAGACTCGCCTAAAGGCTCATCCAATTTTGAAGAGTTTCAAAACATCACTCGTACCTATAAATTCCAAATTGTACTCAAGATCGTGGATTTCCTGTACGTAATTTTAAAAAATGATGTTTTAAAAACATTTCGCATGAGTGAAATATTTTGTTATCTCGATTAGTGCCATCACTGAAACGCATCATCATCATAAGAGAATATAACTTGATTTAAATTGTTACCAATTAATAATTAACTGTGCAGGGAAAAACTGCTCCTCAACAATCAATCAACCAAATTTCCTTATTTTAACAAAGTACAATACAGACAAGTTAATTAATCATGATTTATTTCTCTCCTTCAAGACATATTAACAACTGTTCCGTTTGGCAGACCATACAAAAATATCCAAGAACTATTAACAACTGATCCGTTTGGCAGACCAACAACACCGTTCTAATAACGGCTGACAAGTGCACGAAAACGAGGTCACCCAGTCCATAGTTCACAAATAAAAGATATAAAAGCACATGAAATGCGTTTAAACATAGTTAATAACTATGGCCGAGTCCCATTTGGCAGTCAGAGGAATTTTTTGAATTCAATTATTTCCAAATTGGACAGAATTGTAGTACTATTGCAGATCATTGGAAAAAATTGCCCATACATTTGGAATATTTGATCTTTTCGGTCTTTTTCCTCTCTTTTCAAAGCAAAAGGTTCTTAAAAGTAAAGTTACATAGCACAAGTAAACTGCGTGACAAAACATCCTAAATGACCCTGTAAATCGTCTGTTCTTCGCGAACTACTGTATAGTTAGCGTGTTTTCGAGGCTACGAAACCTAAGAAACCATAAGAGACGAATGTATAGGCCAACAGATAGTATGAGCTTATAAAATGAGCAAAAATACGGTTCTAAATTTTAACAAATTCCTATAAATTATATACCAAAATGTTCAGGAAAGCTCGGGGTTTTCAAAATCCACTTCTGTTTTTTTGACAGGTTCTGTTTTATTTGAAAGAGAGACGATTTTCTAGCTTGACCCCGGTTACGTCATGCATTTTCTTTTGTAAAACACATCCAATAGCGTACATTCAACTCAAAAAGTACGGTGGTTTGTTTTTTTTCAAGAGAATTCAATCTAAACCATATAATACAGTCCGTGAATAGTTGAATTAACTGAATCCACTTCAGTTTTTTGCCTAGATAGTCTTTATTTTGAGAAAATATCCAAATTTTTCTGATGTAAAGAAAGAGTTTCCAGTAATTTGATCCTGCGTTCCGCGCAATGCATCTATGGATTGCCAGGGGGCAAACAAAGCAAGTCGTCACAAGATATGTATGGGGACGATTCATATTTTCCACTAAAATCCGTGATTTGAATATTTCGAACCCCTTGAAATAAGTAAATGAGTTTTTTTAATAGTTACCATGCATATGATACTTATTAAAACTTAACGTTTCAACATCAAGAATAAAATAACAATATAATGAAAATAAAATAAAGATTGTTAGACCCTCCCTTCAAATTTCTTTTTTCTCCCTAAAAAGCGAAATCTAAAAAGCTAAGCTCCAATCCGATCTGTTCGTTAGCCATGTCATGACGTTTATCAGCCCAGAGGTTGTTTAAGGTTCAATCTGTTGGTGGTTATAGTCGCGCCCTGAATTTGCCGATATCAGCCCAGAGGTTGTTTCATTTCAGAGTATCGATAGCATTCGGACTGAGAAATAAGTTTGAATCTCTTATTTATGTATCTTGTTAAGACAGTAAAACTGGCAAAAACTATACTCAAGAGAATTATAACGCATGGTCTCAAACGACAAGACGTTATGTCTAAAGCAAAGAGGAGTATACCAAAGAATGAATATAGTTATTTTTTTACTGTCTCATATTTATGTATATTGTTAAGACAGTAAAACTGGCAAAAACTTTACTCAAGAGAATAACGCATGGTCTCAAACGAAAAGACGTTATGTCTAAAGCAAAGAGGACTATACCAAAGTATGATTATAGTTATTTTTTGCTCTCTCATATTTATGTATCTTGTTAAGACCGTAAAACCGGAAAAAAGCTATACTCAAGAAAATAACGCATAGTCTCAAACGAAAAGAACGTTAAGCCTAAAGCAAGGTTGAATATTCCAAAGCATGAAATTTTTTACTGCAGCAGCCGTAGTGTATTCTTTATGTATCTTAATGCTCATTCCCCTTTTACAACTTAAAACGTTTTGATTGGGCCACTGGAAAAAGGATTCCTCTTAACTTTCCGGATATAAACGTTAAAACTTTCATACGACCGGATTTTGTTTTCAATCTATCAAATCTGAAGCTACAGATATCATGTGGACTTATAAAAAACTAAAGCTTTTAGTCCTCGTGGCCTCTTAATAAAGCTGATCAGGAAATGATATATAGTAACTTACATGAACGCTGTTAATGTCCAGTGATTAATCTTTTATCACTGGTCAATGAACATCGATAAAAAGCAGTAAGTAAAATAGCTTGACGAGAGAATGATACAGGATGTTCGGTAATGTAATAAACGGGATCATTTGTAATGAAATCGTACATTTTCGACCCCCTTTTTGTTAAAATATTTCGTTTTCTTTTATACTTTATTGTCTTTTTCTCTCTCCCTCTAGTTTTCTTATCTATTATTCTTGGGGAGTATGTTACGTCATACGATAACAAAGCATTCCTCAGTTAGCTTGTCTTCATTGGCTTGTCTTGTTAGATCAACCAACATGGCGGCTGTTTCATTCGATTGTTATTTATATCTCAAGGGATTTTGAGTCGTGGTTGCACCTCAAGAATTCTAATTTTATCCATAGTTCATAACCAAACGCGGGGATCGCTCGCCTGTTTCATGTCTATTATGAATCAATGACAAACGTTTCCTTATTAAACGGCAAAGTAACTATATGTAAGTTAGTTGCTCCTGTAATTTTTTCTGAGTTGTATGAATGGAAGTCGACGCTGCGCGCATTACCCTGCGTGGCTAGAATTCTCTTCAACAGTACTCCGTTTTCTATAGGGTTAGATCAATGTAGATCAAAATGCGGACCTATCGTTATTCCATCAACTGAGTCACGCTGGATCGAAAAGACTACCGGATTCTCACCCACAAACTCTGAATGAGAAGAAACTCCCAGATCCGCCGCGTTTTTTCTACTAATAGAGAGTTTTAGATTTACGTTCACGGCAAACGTGAAACGTCAATTGACCAGTAAAAAAATTATTTTAAATTACTGAAAAAGAATCGCAAAAAAGTCGAAGGAGTAGAAAACAAAAGAATATTTGCGCTTGGTGAGAAGGTTTGTGAAACGGGTAAAGTAAAATACAGGAAAACTATGAAAACGTGCTCACGTTTGCCGTTTGCGGGGAGAAAAAAAAGTAATTCTAAAACTCTCTATTTACTAATTTTTCAAGCCTCAGCCCCAGTTATTGGACTTATACAAATCAGTACTATTCTGCTATAGTTTCCATTTTCCAATCTTTAGTCTTTGTTTGTCTGTAATTATTAATTGCCATGTTTAATATTAATGCACCTATTGATTTTTTTCGAGGAATTTTTTTAGTAAAAGAAAAAAAAAAAAGAAAAAAGAAAAAAGAAAAAGAAAAAGAAAAAGAAACAACAACAACAAAAAAACAAAAAACAAAAAGCAAGAGAAAAACAAACAGTTATCACTTTCGTCTCTCCCAAATTTATCCAACATTCTCTCGTTATACCAGTTAAGACACGGCTAGCTCACAACTTGATTTACAATTTAGCATATAAAATAATACTCAAATAAATAGAATAACTAAAACTCAAATAAATACACATCACATACAGTGTGCGGAGGTAGAAGAAACAAACTTGAAAACTCAGAGCGAGAAAACCCCTTGAATAAAAAGGAGAGGGCAAACAAACTCTGCTAATTACTTTGTATGGCACAAAGATCATCACTGCTCAATGGGCTGTATATATCAAGTTCATTAATTGAAGCTTTACTGTTTGACTATAGCGGACATATAGATATTAAATATGATAACGTGATCATTAGATAGGTATATGAGCATGCTAATCTACATAACAAAAACCGCCTACGTCTAACCTCAGACAGGTGGCGAAAAAAAAAACTCCATCATAGCGGCAAATCAATGATGGCATCGTTCTCACTTAAGGCGACTAATATTAAAGTGAACATTTTTGAAAGTAATAGATAGATAGGTTTATAAGCCATGCTACCCTCAAATTTGCATAACAAATACCGCCTACGACGAACCTTGGACTGTTGAAAAAGAAAATATACAGGTCAAAGCGGCAAACCGATGATGGCAAGGCTCTTAGTTAAGGCGACTATTACTAAAATCTAGGAGAAATATAGCGTCTTGGGAAAAATAGATATGATAGAGATAAAAGTTACCTATTTTTTCCCTCACAACTGCGCATGCGCCCGATTCTTTTCCTTTTACGTCATATAGGTTTTGTAATTGATTTCAATTAATTTACAATACCTTTATTAAACTAAACTAAAAATTACCACAACCAATTGACTAAAGCCTTTGTGTGAAGTAGCTGCCCGGATATAAACATTGTTTTTTGTTCTCTATTAGTACCTTTTCAGGTTTCGAACAAATCATAGCGGATTGAGAAGGAGCAATGGAGAACCACAGGGACAAAGCGACGATGTTTATCGGTTTAGTGATGGTTTTACTCGCTCTCTTTACATTCTGCTCCCCGATCATAGCTGCTGAAGACACCAGTTTCAGACTGTTCAAGAAAGGTCGCGTGATATTGGGTGGTCTTGCTCGACTTCATCACAAAAACGCCACCCATGCGTAAGTTACTTCGATTCCCTTTATTCACAACTGCATGTGACTTAGTTTTGTTCGACTCTCCGGGCCTTAATTGATTCAACGATTTTTACTTGGGTTCTACCGTTTTTAGCACTCCATCCACAAAACCCTAACACCCTAAATTTCAGTTTCTTCAGTGTAAGTTATTCGTGCCCTGCATAACTTTTATCAGCCCAGAGTTTGTTTCAGGGTTTGATAGAAACTTGGCCTTACCCTGACTTGATCAGGCCAGATATTGTTTTGTTTTTTTTTGGATCTATAGTAAGCTAAGCCGTTCCCCGACTTAGATCAGCCCAGAGGTTGTTTTAATAGGGTTTGATTCGTGAGTTAGCCGTGCTCTTAGTTACATGATCAGCCCCTGAAGTTGTTTCAAGGTTCGATAAAATTGAAGTTTTTTAAAAAATCTAGTTGCCATTTTGCAGTGTTTCACAGCAAGGAATATCACAATGATTGACTCTATTTATGTCATTGACTTTATTTTATAATTCTTAGTGTTATATACAGTAAGCATTGGATGTTAAGTGATGAAATGGCGTTACCTTACAATATTATTCTAATTTCGGCACTTCAGAGTATGTCATTTTAACATTTTCATTTTTATGGTTCGATTTATTGATTTATTAATGTCAAACTTGCTGGCCATTTAGCCAGTCGATGTATTTAACTTTTTTTCTTTTCAAACATTTGCTATGGCATACATACTTTGGAATCTAGATTAGAATATTTGTCGAATATGCATGAATTTAAAGATAATTTATGCAGAATTATGATTTTTTTTGTTGTCTGAGACTGACAACAAAACAACAATTTTTAAAGTCTATTTATTAGGCTTTAAGAACATGACCATATTGCCATATCTAGTTGAATAAAACACAAAGAAAATAAGGTTTGCATAAAATACCCATTTTTGGCCTATTTTTCCCTCGGGCAAGAAAGAGTTGAACTACAAATACGGTCTCAAATCATTCCGGTTTCATGCAGGAAATATTTTTTATAATCCAACGAGATCAATGGACTGATATTGTCAAATATATGAAATTACTAGCTGAGTGGAACAAATAAACTGTTATTGTGGAGATATTTAAAACAATGAAGCCTGGAAAGTATTTTTCATTTAAAATTAAAAAGGAAACTTAAAAATATTTCAATAAAAACCATTCAAGGTCAACTTCCTGCTTATGAAAAATAAATAAAATGAAATAAAAAATTGAAATAAAAAATTGAAATAAAAAATTGAAATAAAAAATTGAAATAAAAGCAACAATAATAATGAAAGGAAAAGAGTGAAAACAATAACATGAAAATGAAAGTCATTGAAGATAACAAATACAAGTCTTCCTGTATATAACGCAGAAAAAGATACAAATACAAATTTCTAAAATATACGTAAAAAAGATAAAACACTGATAATATAATTGCAAAGAAATATCATCACATATATTTTCAAAAAATTTAAAATGTAAAAAAAAAGTAATAGAAATTAAATATATTAATATTCATAATCGAAACATACTCGTGAAAATTAAAAAAAGGACTACCAATAATAAATGAAAACGAGAAAAAAATAACATAATGAAAATTACTAAAAAAAAATACAGCTAGCTATTCCTGTTTAATCATACATAATAAAAATAAATAAAGAAATACTGACAACAAATAAGATTTATAAAAACAACATAATAATGAAAATAATTGAAAATATTGAAAAATGTAAAGTTAATTTTTCCGGTTTGATTCACATAACGGCTATGGTTTAAACCTTTGGTGCTCACAAAAATCATTTCTGCATCAATTATATATTTGGCTATTTTTGATTTTTGATTCTAGAAATATTCATAGAAGCCTTTTCGGATCTTCAAGGAAATGATTTTTTTTTTTGAAAATTTCTCATTAAGGGTATGTTCAACCGAATGATCTGTAGGAGGCCTTAATGTCCTTGTGTAAACATTTTCGATTAGTTTGCATCATCAATCTTTCTCATAAATTACTAGTCATAATATTTGGCTTTCATTGAAGTGTGTAGATGTCTGTCAGTAAGTAGATGAGTTTTTCTAAGCCATTTACAGTGGTTTTTAGGGTTCAATCGAATTCCCATATGATCATTTGTCATTTATTTTACCGGCGTAAAAAAAGGATGAGTTTTAAACATCCGGCTTATATTAAATGTTTCCTGGAAATTAATATTAATATATATACAGGGGAAGTTATAACAAAGATGGTAATCAGACATCTAGCTATTGCATAAAGAAAGGTGGCGCACCCACACAGCTGCTAAGTGTCGTAAGATGCTGTAACTATTGCAAATTGAGTTCTTAAGGTGGCTGACTAATTTGGTCGTAAATAATAAACAGAAAATTGGAAATTGAAACTTTTTTAATCTGAAATTTAATGCTGTTCAAAAATGCAAAGAAAAATGTGTCCCGAGCTTGTTTTTGAGGTAATCACTCCGGAATAACATACGTATTTTGGAAGAAAATTAGCGAAAATCAAGTTCTGTACAAAAAAAAAAAAACAAAAACAAAAACAAAAACAAACAAACAAACAAACAAACTAAGGAAGAAACATGAGTATTTTTTTTTTCCGAACACGTAAGTTACATTATATTTATGAAATACTGATAAAAGTTGTTTTAATAAACTATTGTAGACGATGGAAAACCTTTTCTTTGTTCAGGTTCTACGGTGTGCAAGTTATCGTAAAAATCGATCACAAAAATAACGAAAAAATTCTTTACATTGTTCTAATAAACAGAATTGTACTATAGTGCAAAGTAATTAGTGGCAGGAAACCTGATAACAGAACACAACCAGTATATTTACTTTTCATGAGTGTGACATCATGAACGCAATAACGCTAAAAGGAACAACAAAATGGATCCGATATCATTTTGCTAAATTGTCTCATGCTTAATCTCATTATGTTCTTCCAATATATACTTTTATTATGTTTTATGAATATACTAGTTAAATTAGGAACGAAACTATTCGGGGATTGGGGTGGGGGAGGTTTTGATACAAGCTCTTTGTCCGAATTTAGATGGCTGACTACTTTTCATGCCAGCATTCGATTCGAGCCCACGATGTGCGCAAGCTCATAAACCACTGAATAATCTTCACAATTTTAATGAAGAACCAAATACGTTTTGAACTTCAAGAGAACAAAACCCTCAAATTTTGCACGGGACTATATTTTTTGTTATTTTAGGATCCCCCCCCCCCCCCCAACCAGTAAGAAATAAGATTATTTCTTACTGGTGGGGAAAAAAATCTTAAAACGGGCTCAATTCAAAAAATAACCACGCAGAGCGAAAGAAGTGCTATTTCTYAATGATCGGGTAAAATTTCGAGGCTTTATTTCACGTTTAGATGATTTTTTTGAAAATTTTGATGAATCTCCATACATTTCCTTATACTGGCAGGACACCACAGAAACCAAGCTTGGGCTACCTGTGATATTATCTTACCATGGTAATGAACAGGAAAATGTTAGTACTGTGAAACCCCTCTATACCGGACCCTCAGTATACCGGAATTCTCTCTAAACCGGACAAAAGTTTTGGTCCGGAAATTTTTCCCATATATCTTTTGTAAAATAAACCTCAGTAAACCGGAACCTCTCTATTCCGGAAACCGGACGATAATTTCGGTACCAAACATGGATATCATGGCTAATGCTAAAATTAAAGGCTACTTGTTCGCTAGTTCATTCAATTATATCATTGAGAAAATCATAATTTTAGCCTAGACAGATACAACGGCTAAGATGTCGGCTTTGGCATCTGTTTTAAACCGCCTATTTACCATGCTTTCTCCCATGTTTTCTTTTAGTTGTGGAATCTTCTACCCACCAGGCCTGGGCAGAGCTGAAGCTATGGTCTACGCAATCGATAAAATCAATAAAGATGATTCAATCCTCCCTAACGTGACCCTTGGTTACGACATCCGGGACTTTTGTCAAGATCCGGTCATAGCTACAGGTCACGGGTACGAATTTGCCATAGCGTCTACCATGAACTGTCAATTAGTTCACTGCTATTCAGATTACCACTGTTATTGCCACGTAAATGGATCTTCGGTACATAACGAACATTTAGGTAAGAACTACAGTACGACGTATCCTGTGGCGGCAATTGTTGGAGCACTGACGTCACGTGCTGCCATCCCATTGGCTAATTTCCTTCAGTCTGTTCAGATACCACTTATCGATTCGGCAGCAACAAGTGAAGAGCTGAGTTCATCCATGTATGGGAGCTTTTTTCGAACCATTCCACCAGATGTGAATCAAGCCAAGGCAATTGCCGATATTATAGAACATTTTGGCTGGAGGTAAGACAATTCTCTTGACGTTTAACCCTGGCGATTGTGCAGGGCGTGGAGAGGGAAGTGGATAGGGAGGGGGTAGATTAAAGTGAATCTTAATGTAGTCATCATGGCATTATTAACGCCCTCCTTTCACTCGCCATTGCAGTTTTTCTTATTTTATCATAATTAGAGGGCGATTAATTAGCAGAATTTCGTGATTCATGTATATATTCTTGAGTGACAGCCTCGTAATCATGGAGTTGCTATATCTGTGGCTTGCAATAATCACCATTTACTTTTCACTCATGATATTTGAGGTACTTTTAAGACAGGTAGACAAATTGCTTGCTTGCAGCACAACTGAATTTGCATGCACGGGACTCCTGGTTAATGGCATATGCACCCTAACTAGTTATTTGGTAACAATTGGCTGCGACAACTGAAAGTCAACATTTAAAAATAAATGAAATAGAATTTATACTAGATATTTTCTTTGCTCCGAAGGTACGCAGGCATTATTGCGGTAGATGATTCCTACGGTCGACATGGCGCAGCAGCACTGGAGCGAGAATCCATTAATCGCACAACCTTTTGCACCCACCTTGTCGGTTACATTCCGTTGTCAAATTACATGGAGAAGCTCAAATTGATCGTTTCCTTTTTCAAAGAAAGACAAACTGTGAGAGTGATCGTTCTCTGGAGTCATTCCTTTCAAGGGATTGATTTGCTAAAAGAGGCTGCAAAACAAGGGTTGAAAAACCGAGTCTGGATCTTTAGTGAGGCCCTTTCGATGGTTAAACCAGAATTTTTTCCACTGGATTCAGGATTATCGTCAACGGGGGTTCATTTTGGAGTTCAGTTACCACTAATTACATCTAATGGATATCATGATTACATCAAGGATAAATTATCTCAAAACAAGACTAATAAAACGATGCATTACTGGTGGAGGGAGTTCTGGATGACAGCCGCTTCTGAAAAATGTCCAGATACTAAGAATGACGTCTGTAATATAAAGAAGGAACCTGGTGAACTGATAACGATGGTCCAAGACGACTTTGTGCCTTATATCATCGATGCCGTGCACACTGCAGCGCATGCTCTTCACCACATGTTTGAATGTTTGCATCCAAATGGGTCAAAAATTGCAGACGATAAACAGTGTCCAATAGTATCGTCTACAGTGGATACGAATGATGTCATTAGATATTTGCACGAAGTAAGGTTCAAAGGTATCACGGGAACGATTGAGTTTGGCCAAAATGGAGATCCATACGAAGCACTATATGATATTGTATACTTCAATATCACTAAGCCTAATGGGATTGAGAAAGTATTTAAGAAACATATTGGACAATGGGACAAGAAAGGCAGTGGATTAACCCTTAATGACGATCTCATTTCCTGGAAAAGTGATGATTCTGGTGTTAATGTCCCCTCTTCAACTTGTAACGAGGAATGCGATCCAGGACAATGGAAAGTATTCACGACTGTTTGTTGCTGGAAATGCTTACCGTGCGTGGATGGGAGTGTCTCCAAGACACACGGCGCCCATAACTGTACAGCGTGTACCAAAACGCAAATGTCTAATCTTGAACGCACCGAATGTCAAGACCTTCATATCGGGAATGTTAAGTGGTCAGACGTAAGTGCAATTATCCTGATCGTGATAAGCGTATTCGGAATCATTCTTGACATTTTCGCTCTTGTTGTGTTTATCCGTTTCCGTTTTACTCCAATAGTGAAGGCATCGAATAAGGTCTACAGCTTCGTTCTTCTCCTCGGAATAGCATTGTGTTTTGGAATGACTATATTATATATTGTAAGACCTTCATCTGAATTGTGTTCTGTCCTGAAGCCGTTACGATATATTGTTTACACGCTTTGTTGTTCGGCTCTGTTTCTGAAAACAATGCAAATTGTGCATGCTTTCAATGTGTCACGACTGAAAGACTGGATATGGGTGGTCATTTGTAGCACCAAGCGACAAGTCATTCTGCTTAGTTTGATAATAGCCTTAGAGGTGTTGCTAGGCATTGTATGGATTATTCTTGACCCTCCCTATGTCCACGTGAACATTATCCCGAAAAGTCACGTGTTTCATAGGTGCCTACCGTTCAAAGGTGTGATTGGCCAGATATTTGAGCACCTTATGCTTATCTATCTAATTTCTATGGCTGGACTTTGCACCTACTACGCCTATCAAGCACGGAATCTACCAGCTAATTTCAGCGAAGCAAAGTACATCAGTTTTTCTCTCTACATATTCCTGTTGTCCTGGGTAACCTATTATCCTATTGATTATTCCCTTGAGGGCTGGTATGTGGGAATTTTGTCAGGTGCGACAATTTTACTTAGCTCCTATGGTCTTCTTGGGTGCATTTTTGTGCCAAAGCTTAACATTATTATTCGACACCCCGAGAAAAATACGGTGGAGTTTGTAAGGGCTGAGATGCGTCAAAGCACTGCCAATCGATCTGTGAATAATATAAGTTCTATAGGATCAGGTGGTTCGCCGGTCTAATGAATCAGGATGATATCATGATGAGGCATGATGACTATGGTCAATTCATACTCCTGATAGAGAACGATCACTATGAATGGAGAACTCATGATCATGCGAGGATCAGATGGTTTTAAATATTGACAATTGGTCATGAAGATAGACCAATCCAGCATGATGATAATGATGATGACAAAAGAAGGTAGTAGGTGGTGATGACGAGAAAGAAAAGGAACAGGCCTTGGTAAATAATGGTGAAGATGACAATGACGACGACGATATCGATGATGACGAAGACGACGGCGATGATGACGATTAGGACGATGTTGCCCGTGATAGTATTTAGACTGAACGATCTCGGTAAATTGATATAGATAAAGATGAATTGATATAAAAGCCAACAACGAAAAATAAATAAAGTTGGTAAACGATGATCTGACGCGGATGATCATGAATGCTGATGAGTGATTAAAAGAAAGGCATTGGTACATAATGTTGATAATGATGATACACAATGATGTTGATGAAAAAAGAAAAGATGGTAATAAAAAGAACTAATCTTGGTAAATTATAAAGATAATATTAAATGGCGAGAAATGATGGCGATGGTCTTGGTAAATGATGAAGATAACGATATTGAGGAATAACCACAATCAATCATAGTTGTAAGACTCAATGACCACAAACTGAAAATGATATTTACACTTCTTAAGAAAAGTTGTTTGCAGCAAAGAGCCATGCTCAGCACAGACAATCTGAAAGCCAAAACTTTTGGACTTGTTCGCTGGTCGCATTTCAAAACAGGTTCTTCTTGACTATCCAGTATAAACTCTTCCAACGATCACATAAAAGTATTGTTTGTTTCAGATATTTAACATGTATCATGTATTGTTACTGTTTAAAAAAATGTGCCCGTACTATCATGGGCGCACGGAACTCCGACGGCTGGAAATGTGGACCTACGTGCTACTATTGATGATCACGAAGTTAACAGACAAACCAGAAGCCAAGGTACCTGTATAAAGTCAATGAAAAACGAACTGACCCAGTCGCGATGTTGTTCAAAGGAAACATATCAGTCCGACAGCGCTAACTATAATTTGGTGGCCAGGATAGCACGCGTCTTATCAAAAATACATAATATTAGCAGCAGTAATTTTAATCAATTGTTTTAAGAAAACCGTTATGTGTATTTTATGTAGACATTTGTAATTTTTTGTTCACATTTAGATATAACTTAAGAATTTTAAAGTTAAAAAATGATAAACTTAAAAAATGTATTCCTAAAGTTAAAAATTGAATGGTATAGAACTTATTTGTAACAAAATATAAGTTTGTTCTCTCGCTTAATAAAATGATTGTATAACTTATTTTTATTATTTCAATTGGAATACTCGGGCCAATTTAAGCAAATTAGGAATGATGGGATATTTGCATTTTTAATTCCACATCGTTTATTGTTTGAAATTTGGTTTCGCTTTTTTAACAGCAAGAGACTCGAGGACTTTAACATTGTCTTATGTTGGCTGTAAATGGTTTCCAACATCCAACCACGAGGCATTCCACTTATTAGTTTATTCACCAGTAAAAATACATTAATTGGATTTTTGCGCAATCAAAATCCTATTCCTCAGGGTGCGACTGGTGGTGGTGATGAAACTTTGTCAGAATAAGGTTGGTATACAACTATCTATATAAAATTGTTTAAGAGCAGTAGACGAATAGAGGTCGATAAAAATGTTGATACACCTGTAACATGACAAGGAAAGGCAACTAAAACCAAAATAGATGCGAGTCATCGTATTCAGTAGAATTATATTGGTTGTGGTTGAAGTGCTGGGAATGAAAGTTTGCCAATTTAGAAACGGAAACCGTTGTTGATACTGAATTTAATCATCTACTATAAAAAATAATTATATTAGGAAGGGGTTACTTTAAATACTTATACTTATTTGAAACGAAACTTCGAGTTACATATATTGAGGTGTTTTGGTGGCCTTGTCAATAAAAAGCGCCTAGTTCCTGCCAAACTGGAGACTAAGAACCTGTCTTTCTGAAAAAGACATTTCTATATTAGTTAATAAGCAACTTAATAAACATTGTTTCGAACTTTTAAAGTTATTCTTTAACGAAGGAATGACGTTTCGAACGTCATAACAGATGCAAAACCTTTTTTTCACTCGGCGCTTAAGTTTGCTTCCGTGCACTGACGGACAACGCAGTTGAAGGATAATGTTTAGCAGAGTAGCGTAACGCAGCTTTCATTAATAAGACTAATTGGCCAAAATGTCGAATCAGGCCCGTAGCTAGGATTTTTGTTGGGGGGGTGCTAATTTACAAAAAGTGGATCAACCATATACTTTATTTTTTTAAAGTCCCATAGGACGCATAGGTATAGATAAATTATTAAAGTARAATTGATTTTTTTTACTTAGTTTTACGTGAAAATATCRTACCAGCCAAAATCTCACTTGCTTAAAAAGCGGACCTTTAGCTCGCGTGGGGGGGGGGGGGGGGGGGGGGGGGGGGGGGGGGGGGGGGGGGGGTGCGAACGCACCCCCTGCAACCCCCCTAGCTACGGGCCTGCGAATGATGCGGAAAGAAGAGTAAAGGGAAGCAAGATTGATGTCGAAGTAGAGCTATAGGTGTCATGATAAGGTAAGTCCACAATGGCTAGGCCACGCCGAGGCAATATTGTATGCCATAGAAGAAATAAATAAAGACAAGTTGCTTCTCCCAAATTTTACTCTCGGTTACGACATACGGGACATCTGCACGAGTGAAATCAATGCAGCGAGATACGCATACCAGTTTGCTACAGCATCTACCATGAACTGCAAAGAAGTGAGGTGCATATCAAATCACAGTTGCTTTTGCATCGTAAATGGCAGCTCAGTCGACAAAGAGTGTTTATTCAAGAACTACAGTACCACCTCTCCTGTTGTCGCAATCGTTGGAAAAATGTCATCAGGTGTTGCAATTCCAATGGCAAATTTCCTGCAAGCCGTCAGAATACCTTTAATGGGGACCTCAGCAACTAGTGAGGAACTCAGTATGCCAGTATATAACAACATCCTTCGAACTATTCCATCAGATATAAACCAGGCTAGAGTGTTTGCCGATTTCATTGAACGTTTTGGCTGGCGGTAAGCTTTAATCTGTCTTACTGAATTAAATAATTACGGTAATGATAAAAGATGCGAAGACTTTTCTCCAGGTTGAAACAAGTTGAATCCCAATTCGACCTGTTAGTTAACCGTGCCCTGACTTTAATAAGCTAAAAGCTAAGTTTGTTCAGGGTATAAATGAAAACTGATGCCGGGCTTGCGACGCACATATATGGAAATCGTATTGTCCGTAGCGTTGCACACAAATCGAAGACAAAAGACCCAGGCATGCGAGTGTCGCATTTTGTACATAGGTTTTTACTTCTGAGATATGCTTCGAAGTTTTACTTTCGAAAAATCAGATAGGAAAATAAGACAACTTTATTTTGTTTTTATCTAGATATGTGGCAGCAGTAGCTACTGATGATTCTTACGGCCGCTATGGAGTGAGAGCACTGGAGCGAGAATCCATCCAACGTAAAACGTTTTGCCTTGAGCTTTTCGGGTATGCGCCTATGTTAAAATACAAAGACAAGCTCAAAGCGATCGTTTCTTCTCTAAAGCTTCGTAAAACTGTTAAAGTGATAATAGTTTGGGCCCATTCCATTTTCGGAAGAAGTCTGTTAGTGGAGGGTGTCAAACAAGGCGTAGAAAACCGTATTTGGATGTTCAGCGAAGCAGTAGCAATGCTCAGGCCGGAATATTTATCATCTATTCACAATCTTTCGTCAACTGGGATTCATGTTGGTTTTAAAGTGCGAAGTGAAGTCCCCGAGAGCTTCCTTCAGTATCTTGAAAGCAAACTGGTTCGCAATCGCTCTGATGAAGAACATTTTTGGTGGAAACAGTTCTGGAAATCAGTGGCCATGAATAAGACAAGTTATGACAACACTATACCAAAACGGAACTTACTTCATAGAGCTCATGATGATTTTGTTATTTATATTATCGATGCAATATACAGCATTGCCCATGCACTTGACCGAATGCTCAGTGCGAATGCATCATCATCTTCAACAGGCAAGAACATGTACCCAAATAGCAACGAGACTGTACAAACTGGTAAATTAATTGAATACCTGAAAAACGTCGAATTCGAAGGCGTCACTGGAAAAGTCCAATTTGATTCAAGAGGTGATCCACTAGAAGCCATTTATGACATCGTGTACTTTAACATATCTAAGATAAAAGAGAATGAAAGAATCACAAAGGATGTCATTGGACGGTAGAATAAAAACAGAAATGACCGTTTACAGATTCGTGATTCTTTGAAACTCTGGGAGGATAGTAGGAAAGAGAGAAAAAGTATGTTTTCCACATGTACAGATGAATGCAAGCCAGGGCAATGGAAAGTACCTACTACAGAATGTTGCTGGAAATGTTTACCATGTATCGATGGAAGTGTTTCAGAAACAAACGGAGCACTGAGTTGCACAACCTGTACTAAAACACAAATGTCCAACTTTGAAAGGACCCGCTGCATACCCCTTCCCATAAATAACATTGACTGGTCAGACATAGTTTCAATCATACTCACTATAATAAGTATTCTAGGGTTTGTTATTGATGTGTGTGTGTTTGGTATCCTGTTCTATTTTCGTGACACTCCCATGGTAAAGGCTTTAAACAAAGTGTGTACTCTTGTTCTCCTCCACGGAATAGCTTTGTGTTTTGGGATGACTTTACTATATATCGTAAGACCTTCATCTGAATTGTGTTCTGTCCTAAAGCCGTTACGCTTTGTTGTTCGGCTCTGTTTCTGGAAACAATGCAAATTGTACACGCTTTCAATATCTCTCGCCATAAAAACTGGGTGAAAGCATTTGTTTGCAGCACCAAACGACAAGTGATTGTGCTTCTAGCAATAATAAGTATCGAAGTTTTTCTTGGGGCTGGTTGGATTCTCTTGGATCCTCCATATGCTCACGTGACTATAGTCCCTAAACGCCACGTGCACATCACGTGCGTGCCTTTCAGAGATGTCCCTGGTAAGGTACTGGAGAGCCTTATGCTTGTGTATCTTTTGTTGGTGGCTGGATGCTGCATTTATTATGCTTATCGTGCAAGAAATCTTCCAGCTCATTTCAACGAAGCCAAACACATTAGCTTTTCTATCTACATCTTCCTGTTATCCTGGATAACCTATTACCCTGTAGATTATGCAGCGGAGGGATGGTACGTTGCTGTCCTATCAGGAACTACTCTTCTTCTCAGTTCCTATGGTCTTTTGTTTTGTATATTTGGACCAAAAATTTACATAATTATTTGGCATCCAGAAAAAAATACTGTTGAGTTTATAAGGTCTGAGATGCGTCAGAATCACTTGACTCAAAAAATAAATAATTGCAATTCTGTGAAACCAAATGAAACCGCGACCTGAATACAGCATTTTGCTGCATGGTTGTGGGAAAGAGAGCAGTTGGTACTTGGAGACTACCAACCATCAAATATTTGCCGTTTGATGTCTACTTTTGCACTTTTGTTCCATTGTAACACAGTCTGGTTGAAAGAGAAGTTGACAATGATTCCAGATATATAAAATGTAATAGCAGTTTTGTTGAAGCATGAATCAGTGCAGGGCGAAAGGTAAATGACACTCTCAGTTCCAAATGAAATCTTCCAAATCTTAAAAACTCAAGTTAAATTTGTATAGGAATTGCACGATCTCGAGTACAATTTGGAATTTATAGGAGTGATGGTTTGAAAGTTTTCAAAATTGGACGAGCCTTTTAATAGAGGTCAATGACGCCATCGTGGAAACGTCCTATTTGAGAACTTCCAAAAAATCGCGAGTATCGCGATTAATTCCGAATTGTACGAGAAGAATGTGCGATTTTTTGTTTATGATACACTCAAAAAATTTGTAGAGTGTAATTTGTGTAATTTTGTAGAGTGTATTATAAAAGTAATAATAGAGTGAAGGCATTAAACCCGTGAAATATAGATATTAGACTAATACACTTTGGTAAACATTAATTCCATTGTTTTCTTTTGTGCTATCTATACGTGACTAATACACTAGTATTTTTTATTTCACGGGTTACATGTAAATACTATCACTCTATATGCTTGCAATGAAATATATGCAAATTCAATGTCTGTTTTCCTTCCACAATTTAAACGAAATGTAACATTAAAATATTGGAATCACTATGATAAGTCAGTCTTGATTAAAAGAGAAGCTTGTAAATATCGTATTTCAATCATCAAAACATTGTAAAACACACATATTATAAACACACATATAGTATATAGCCATATTAAATATGAATAGCTTCTTGCAATAGGCGCGAATTGCAATGTAACATTAAAATATTGGAATTACTATGATAAGTACACCTTTTGCTGTTCATTAACAGAAAATGTACATTCATTTGTGCCAATAGTTGTGTCAATAACGTGTATGTACTTTCATCAACACCACAAGTAACATCATTAGCGCGGATCATCTTTCAATAACGATATTTGAATATGCGTGTACATTCATAGGCATCAATGGACAATCAATAGCGCGTTCGTACATTCATATGCGCGGAATGTATTTTCTTGTGCGCGAAATTCAACTTCAATAAAACCAAATGACAAACAATTGCATTTATGGACAATCATTTACCCAAAAGTGAAAATTCATTAGTGCTATTAGCATAA